ATATATATATATCAGTATCTTTGTATCTTCCACGAATGTACAAACATCCGAGGATTGTCAAATTTTTACGATATTACTCATGCTAGAAAAATAGGAGGGGGAAAGAAAAAAGAGGACGAAGATGATAAAACGCAAGACAGCTGCCTCTTTTATTTAGACATCTCGTCAGAGTTTATGCGGTCGATTTTTAATTAACGAGAGTAGAATGTGAAGAGAAAGATTTAATTAAGAAAAGACAAGAAAACTAACCGTAAGGCAGAGTCCTTGTTTTTGTAGCCTCGTGTTTCTGTACCCAGCCCCTTTTCTCCAGAGCTTCTTTCAATTTCGGTAACTCGCCGCGTATCAAAAATATTTTATGTCTCTGAAAGATGGTAGCACGTACTTTAAAATGTCTTAAAGTTACAATATCCTTCTACGTGAACTTCTAACAGCTGGTTATTGTTAGATCTACAGTTATTTTTACGAAAATGTTTGAACATTTGTTGCTATTATTATTATATTTTTATTATTATAAAAATGTATTATGCACGTGATGAAAAACCATTTTCAAAATTTCATTAGCCTAGTTCACAAACAAATCTGAAAATATGTGGAGGATTGTAGGATATTTGCTACACGCGTGTACGTATTTATCAGAAACATCGGGAATATTTAATTATTCATTATATGTTAATAAACCTCAAAGTCAATTGACATTCACTGGGATTATATCATAATAACTTGTTATATGTTTAAAATTGTTATCCATGTTAGGTACCAATCTTTTACTAGACATATCTTTGCAATGGACGCCTTATGATATGTATATGTATAGAATGTTTTAATATACAATTGCACTGACGTAAAAAAGAAAGAAAAATTACGTGATTTAAAAAAATATAGTATTGACGTTCATTTGTCTTTCTAATAAAATAATAAAAATGAACCAACTGAATTACTCCCTGGGAACAAATTTCATTCGAAAAACATTTTTCGCATAACGAACAGTTAACGAAGATAATTGCATTTATTAATTGAAATGGGCCATCCTGTACACATTTCGAGATTGGTTTCAAATTTTAATATAATCGTAACAGTCGTGTCTCGTTATCGTATCGATGGAATTTCAAAGTACTTTATACAACACACACACGTACCGTATGAAAGCTTCATTTGTGACAAGTGTACGGATATAAACGGATATAAATATTTAACTAATCCGCGCAACGAGCCAATCTAATTTATTTCTATTTAATTTTCATTCCAGCTACCTTGATGGCCTTGCCGACTTTCGCTTTAATTTTCTGATAACGTTCGTCCCTGGCCCAGTGAGTTTTGCAGCACTCGTCGTCCTTGAGCACGACGATACTCCTGTGGTTGTTGACGGCGTCGTCGGTATCGTGCTTGTCAAAGATCTCCCGGGGACAGCAGGAACACGTGTCCATGAACGATCCGGAGAACGTTGCGCAGTCAAGCTGCGGCAGGCTGTTAACACCGCTGATCTCATTGTCGTTCGCGTCCGGAAGTGGCCATTTTGAGTTCATTTTCGTCGTCCAGTCGACGCGATTGTACGGATTCACCGGGCTCTGCTTCTTTTCCAGGCTGATCAAAGGAGTCAATTTGCAGCAGGAGGCCCCCGCTTTATCCTCGTTCGTGGAATCCGTGGCCGCTGAATCTTTCGTGACCCTAATGTCCATTAACCGGGAAGTGAAGGTGAAACGTTCCAATTTATTACACGACATCCGCTCAATTTCGTCCTTCTTCTTACTCGGCGATCGATTTAATCGTCACGTTTAACTCTGATTAATCTGATCATCCGATCGA